CTGACAGTGTCTCACCCTGCCTGGACAACAGCAGCGACTGCTCAAACCCAGCACTGCTGGTCTCTTTTAGGTTCTCAAGGATTTGAGCAGTGATAACTGTAAATGTAACAAATGTAACATGTAGGGGATGTTATCACTTCAGGTTGTCAGAAACAAGTCTTGGTTCTTTGTGAATAATTCCGACGGTTGCAAGACAAGGGACTCCTGAATAATCCCTTTAGGCGCCTGGGCCTTGGGAGAACAGGTATGCAAACTACAGAGATAAGGAGGCTGCAGGATAATCTGAAGACCCCTGCCGAGAGACGCCAAACAAACATGTGTGACGGACATTACCATATATTAATGAATTCTTGGAAAAGCCATTACTATGATAAACATTTCTTGGAAATGTAATTAATATGTATGTTAACATAGCATAAATACCTAGTAACTGTGTCTCTTCGGTGCACACGTTTGGAGGAGAGATCCCCCGTGTGCCCGGCGCCGCAATAAAGAATACCTGCTTAATAGTCTGCCGACTATTGAGTCTTCAATTCCGGCTTTTCACGGCATCAGCGGCCAACAGAACGCACTAGCTGAACCGAAGGAGTAATGGAGGCAACAAACTTTAGGGGTAGAAATGGATCAGTCATGTAAAGGCATGGGAAGGAACCAAGAGCAAGGAGCTGCAAAGACATCTCCAGAAAACTTGGAGAAGTGATCCACCAGCTACACAAAAGGTAAGCAAGTGATTTTATGCATTCTTTCTGAAAAACGTTTGAGGCCCACTGGAACTTCGAAGAGCTCTGCTCTCAGTGATCTCATCGCACATATCCTACCGATATTTTACACCTGTGTTTCACCCCATAGTCATATATTTTATTAGAAAAAGTTGGTAACCTGGTGCATAAGGACTGTGAAGCAAAATCAGTATTAGGGGCAAATCAGTGTGGTGGGTTGTGTGCCCTCCATGCTTACCTCAGACCTTCCAATGCCCTGAATGTCCCATCAACTAAAACACACTGCACAAAAATCCTTCAGCATTTTCCCTAAAGACACACAAAGACAAAATATAGTGGATGGGAAAAAGCATACAGTATGACTCGAAGGTAGGTCTCGACTTAAATGTAACAATTTTATAATTATTTCTGTACAAAACCCATCTATAAAAAAATCTAAAGTGTTCATAAGAATGTAGTTAATTGTAATTTCTCCCAGAGGAATAAAAAAAAGCTTTAGAAAACAATTTGTACTTACAAATGTTCACACCAGCATGATAAAGATGTTCATTCTCCCTTCTTCCCAGCATTTTGGCATTCCATAAACCAAGGCATTTAACCTTGCAGAAACACACACTACGAATTTCTCCTACTGCATTTTTAGAAATTGTTGTGCTCTGATATAAATAATGAGGAAAAACAGGACAGACTTTTTCTTTTTTAAGGGGAAAACACAAATGGGACTGTTTACAAATAAGTCTATGGAGCTTTTTTCCTTTTGCAGGACCTCCAGTAGCCCTCAGCCATGTCACACTGGTGTGAATTTTTTTAGTATGAAACTTTCAATTTCTAAAAGGTAACTTTTTCATTATGCAGATTTTTTTAAAAGCAAGTTTAAATCCCTTATATTTCCTGAATTTGTAACAATATACATGTGCCAAGAAACTTTTTTCCAAGAACTGAGCTCTTCCTACCACATTACAGATTCTGAGAAAAAGGAGCAATTATATAGCCTTATTCCACAGAGAATACATCTGCAAGTGCAAAAGGATAACAAAAAACTTTTTCCCTCTAGATGCATAACAGAAGTCATCAGGCTCTCAGAGAGCCAAACACATTTCCTTTCGCAGCCCCAGGAAATGCAAAAATATCCTTTTTAAGTGTTGCTCTTCTCCAACGTGGGCAAGTTTCATCACTGCTTTCAACAGAACAGCAAACTAAGTTTATGCAGATGAACAGCTTACATCCCTAAGCTTCCCAATTTAAGTAAACTCTTCCACATTCAGCTCAAAGCACCAAAATCAGGCTTATGCACCAACTCTTCCTCAAAAGGCATCAGTCCCTCCGCACTAACCTCTTCTTCTATAACTAGCTTCCTTTTATCTTGGACATCTAAACTGTCTCAAGTCACACAGGCTATAACCTCCATCCCCTCAATGAAAGTAAGTCACCAACAGAAGAAAAAACGAGAAAAAAACCAAAACGCCAACAACATTCTCAACATAAGAAAAGCATTCAGCACATGGTCAGAGTAACATTTTACAACAAGACAGAGCTGTAACGTCTAGAAAAAGGTAATAAGCTGTCTTCAGAGACCAGCCCTGGAGTCTCTTCACACACACACACAAAATAAAACCTACCACAAAACTGAAAACCCAAAGAAAAGGAAAGTAGCGTAGCTCCAACCCTTTGCTCCTAAGCCCACAGAGTGAATTCTGAGCTCAGAATAAAAGGGCTTGGAGCTTAACTTTTGTTCCACAGGAAGACGATATCCTTAGATGAAAAGTTAATAATGTTTGAGAAGGTCACAGAGGCGGTGACCATTGATATATACAAGAAGTTGCATCTTAAAGCACTTTTCCCTTTGCCCTCTTGCCCTCAGTTTCCAGGATACTAGATCAGCAGATGGAATCAGGAAATGTTACACAAACTTCACAGCAGTCAGATTTTGGAGGCCCGCGGAAGGCATCCAGAGCTGCTGTTCTGAACAAGATACAAACCCAGTCGAGACGATCTGTCTGCTCTAAATAACTGCTCTCCCCACACACTCCCTTCTTTCCCTGAAATAGGAGTCAATTTTGCAGGATACTGGCAAACCAAACACAGCCTCTACCAACCACTTCCCACCAACATCTTAAAGAAAACTTAAGACACAATAGTTGACTGATAACGTATCAGATCTATGAAATAGGGATAAGGAACCTAAAGCACTTGTAACACTGTTCTCAGTGAGAATAACCCATCCTGCTATTCAACTAGCTCAGAACAGCAGAGGTGTTCTAACACAACCCTTTGTGCATACGCTTTTTTATATTAACGTGAAACCAAAGCACTATTTAAGGACAAATGTCCCCATTAGGTATCATTCATTAGATCTGTGTAACAAGACTTGCTGTCTTTGCAGCTTCCACCTCATCTGCTGAATGGCAAAAGAAATAGGACACAGGGTAAAAAAGGCTGGTACACAAACAAAACCTGAAGAACCTCACTGTTGAGGCAGTTAAGTGTTGCTCAGTCTGTCAACCACCAACTTCCTTCCACGCTCAGCAAAGATGAGCCACATCTGTTCTTTTCACAGTAAGTCATCAGCTTACACACTCCTCGTGGTTTAAGCCAACACCTTGAGATCTGATCAACGCAGGTTTTAACTGCATTAGCAACCATGACAGCCTACTTGGAGCTGCGCGCAGAGTATAATATGAGATGTAGTAATTAGAGGGTTCCATGCCTCTGACCTCATACAAACATTCTGAAGATAGTGTTTTGTTTTGAGGGTTTCAGTTTTTTTGTTCATAAATTAAATCCTGCAGCAGACAACAGAAAAATATATCAGGAATTTGTTCCTAACTTCAAAAGCAGTCTGAAAATAACAGATAAAAAATATCTGATCTACTTAAATAAGCAACATCCTCACAGAAAAACTGATGCAGCATGACCTAGATAAGTAAAGGGTGAGGCAGATCATGAACTGGCTTAACTGCTGTGCTCGAAGTGTTGTGATCAGCAGCATAAAGTCCAGCTGAACGACAGTCGCTACTGGAGTAACCCAGACATGGATACCTTGTACCAGTACTCTTCAGCATCTTCACTAACAGCTGGGGTGAAGGCCATCCCATAATAATGAGAGAGCACACCCTCAGCAAGCTTGCAGGCAATACAAAATGGGAAGGAGTCGTTGATGCACCATGGGGCTGCACTGCCAGCGAGAGCACCCCTGAGCGGCCGTAGACATGGGCCAGCTCAGGGGACTGCTGGAGCTAACAGAGGGATGTGCGAAGCCCTGCACCCAAGAGGAATAACCCCGAGCGCCAGCAGCCCAACAGAGAAGGCCTTGGGGGTCCTGGTGGATGTCAGGTTGACCGTACGCCATCAGTGACATGGATGTGTTTGAGCAGGTCCAGAGGAGGGCCACACAGATGATCAGAGGGCTGGAGTACCTCTCCTGCGAGGACAGGCTGAGGGAGTTGGGGCTGTTCACCCTGGAGAAGAGAAGGCTCTGGGGTGACCTTAGAGCAGCCTTCCAGTACCTGAAGGGGGCCTACAGGAAGGATGGAGAGGGGCTTTTCACAAGGGTGTGTAGTGATAGGACAAGGGGGAACAGCTGTAAACTCAAAGAGGGCAGATTTAGATTACATATTAGGAAGAAATTCTTCACCAGGAGGGTGGTGAAACACTGGCACGGGTTGCCCAGGGAAGCTGTGGATGCCCCCTCCCTGGCAGTGTTCAAGGCCAGACTGGATGGAGCTGTGAGCAGCCTGGTCTAGTGGAAGACGTCCCTGCTCGTGGCAGGGGGTTGGAACCAGATGATCTTTAAGGTCCCTTCCAATCCAAACCATTCTATGATTCTATGAAGTTGAAGAAATTAGCCAAAACTAAGACTGCCTGTTGCACATAATATTTTAGTACTTGACAAAGTTCCTGAATTATAACTCCTGAATTCAGTTTTTTGCATTTAATGTTAGATATAACGTGACATTGATTCATTTTTCCTCTGCACAATGTATAAAATTCTAACCTTCTTCAGTAGCTGCAAAGAAGTATCACCAATATTATTCCTTGAAGTACCAGTCTACTACTACCGTATAAGTAACATTGAGGTGAAAGTTATCTCCAGTCCCTAACACAGCTGACAAAAAAAATAACATTTATAGCTAAGTTTTAATTTGCAACCTTCATATCAACTAATCAGGGAAAAAGGCATTTGAGTTAAACAAAAAGCATAGTATTAAAACTCAGTATCCTGTGCAATTACAAAGATTTTGAAGCACTAGAATGAAACACCACTACATAGTTTGAACCTACCTTTCTGCAATAATTTCACCTCTCCATTTTCTTTCTTGATTTCATTCATTATTTTGTGCTTCTTCTTCTCTTTTTGCTTCTTTTCCCTTTCTTTAATTTTTTCTTTGATTTGAGCTGAAATACAAACATTTTACAATTAAGTAGGAACAGAAAACTAATTGTCTCATGCACGCTTCATATTACTTATGTAGGCTCTATTAAGAAGATAAAAGGAGGAGTTATAAGGAAATCCCAGTACTCATAATATGAGGAGCTAATATTTATCTGTTGCATAATCCAACATAAGCTTATTTAACTCAGACAAGTTTTGTTTCTGTTATGTTCGAACTGTATGTAACAACTCCACATGTTAACTGCAAAAAGTTCATTTTTGCTTACTCCCACTACCCTCTGCTCTTATCTTGCATCTGTAGTCGGCTCTTTCTTGAAATTCAAATTACACACACTAGATAAGAAATGAGGAAAAAGAGTATGGTTTGTCTTTTTCTGGGTGCGCCTATACACTAGAAGCCTTGCAAAACGATCTTCACATAGTCTAAACTTAAAGGCTTTTGCAAGCAGCTTCCAATGAAGACTTAATTTGGTAGCTGCAAAATGTTCTACATTAAGTTCGCAAGCTATCTTAATGCATTAATAGCAGTAACACATAATTAGTAGAAACACATGAAATCTGCTTTGTTTGCACAGCAAATATAATGCACTGGTGCTTCCCTTGCTTACCTACAGACAGCAACAGCTTACCTGAGCAGTCTCATTATCCATACACCGTCTGGTCAAGTCACTCCAGGTTTTTAAATTGTCATACAAAAGCAGAGCCTTTAGGCGTGCTTTCTACATGAAAAATACTAGACCCAGAGGAATTCGTAATTTCAAGGAGCAATCTTTTCAAGACAAACTTTGTTTTACTTTTGAGGTCAAGCATCTAGAGAAGTCAGGTTTCACTAGGCTTAGACGCACTGCAGCCAGCATTTCATGCCTAGTTTCTTGGCCTGAAGCCAAGTACCTGTTCCAAGGGTTTACTGGGCTTTTTAAGCTCAGCAGAGAGGAAATCTGATTTCAAGCTTCTACGTAACCTTACGCTTCAGAATGCTTTCTCAGGGATACAACTGAGTGACAATCCTGATGCTTTATTCATGGTACTTGCATTATAAACCTCACATGGAAGCTAAGATAAATCCAATGATTAGTGAGGATACCTACATCTTCTATTTTATGTGAATGCTTGAAGAAAAGTAATAAATCAGAAATATTCTTCTGAACCAAACCAAAGTAAGCCTTCAGTTCTAGAAGGCAATACAGAGTGTCCCATAACCAAACTATTTATGAAGCAGGTTAATAGTTAAACAAAATGTGCAAAGGGTTGACAGTAATCCACATATTGTGAACAGTGTTCGTTTGACTCCACAGCATTCATAACTTTCCTACTAAGGCTGCACAACTTAAACCCTAGCAGTTGTTAGGATGAAGAACCATGCTCAGAAGCGGTGCATCCCCCCTGAGAAAGAAACCTAGAAAAGGAGGCAGGAGACCAGCATGGATGAACAAGGAGCTTCTAGCGGAGCTCAGGTGGAAGAGAAAGGTCCATGGAATGTGGAAAGAGGGACGGGCCACTTGGGAAGCCTGCACCAGTACAGGCTTAGGGCGGACCTACTGCAGAACAGCTCTGTAGAGAGGGACCTGGGTGTCCTGGTGGACAAGCTGACCATGAGCCAGCAGTGTGCCCTGGCTGCCAAGAAGGCCAATGGGATCCTGGGGTGCATCAAGAAGAGTGTGGCCAGCAAGTCGAGGGAGGTTCTCCTTTCCTTCTACTTCGCCCTATGGAGGCCCCATCTGGATTACTGTGTCCAGTTCTGGGCTTCCCACTTCAAGAAAGATGAGGAGCCTCTGGAGAGTGCAGAGGAGAGCTATGAGGATGATGAGCGGACTGGAGCATCTCTCCTATGAGGAAAGGCTGAGGGAGATGGGCTTGTTCAGCCTGAAGAAGAGAAGGCTGCGAGGGGACCTTACAAATGCTTATAAATATCTCAAGGGTGGGTGTCAGGAGGATGGGGCCAGACTCTTTTCAGTGGTGCCCAGCGACAGGACAGGACAGCCAGAAACTGAAGCACAGGAAGTTCCATCTGAACATGAGGAAGAACTTCTTCCCTCTGAGGGTGACGGAGCACTGGAACAGGTTGCCCAGGGAGGTGGTGGAGTCTTCCCCTCTAGAGATATTCAAGACCCGCCTGGACAAAGTCCTGTGCAGCCTGCTGTAGGTGACCCTGCTTTGACGGGAGGGTTGGACTAGATGACCCACAGAGGTCCCTTCCAACCCCTACCATTCTGTGATTATGTGATATTCTGGGAAGAGCCTAAGAAAGAAAATATAAACCAAAAGAGATGGCAATTGAGATGTGTCTGCTGTCCATCCACAGGTCAAGATAAGCAGTGGGGAAGAGAATACAAACTATGCTGGCACAAAATTATTACAGCATAAGGTAGCTGTACTTAGAACTGTCTGTAAGTCTTAATTCTAAGCAACTGAAACAATTACGTCCAACAACAGCCTTCTAACAGTTCAAGGAGAAGGGATGAGAAAGCAGATTCATCTGCACAGTAAGCCATGGAATCCAAACAAGCTTCCCTAAACAACACAAACCTGTACTTTCTAGGAATAGGTTAAGCAGACAGGAACCTTCCCCTCCAGCCTGCTTATCCCACAAAAGAAACTCCCATTTCGTAAATCCCCTGCAACTTAAATAGTATGGAGTACAAAATCAATTATACAGCAGGAGTTTAAGCAACACTTCGAAAGCAGACACTCTCACTCAGCAAGTAGGTAGTAACACAGCCTTGATTTGTAACCTGCACTGAACATTCAACTCGGCCAGAATTATAATTATCAGGGGAAGCCCCAGATTTTATCTTAACATTTGCATACTCTTAAGAGGCACACTTGACTTCTGCTATCACTTACGAATCAAAGAGAGACTGAAGAGCATATACAAACGCTGAGCTGTATTGAAAGAGGATGAAAGACTGAATGAATCCTTTATTGCAGGCTCATGAATAGCATCACAGGCCAATGAACCTTCCAGTTTTGTCACAAGAAACCCATAAGACAGAGAACAAGCTGAAACCTTTTAGAGTCAGTTTATTTCACATCTAGAAAGCAATCAGCAGAGTCAATGGTGAAATATTTTAGACAGAAGAAACAATGGAAGTGCCCTGGGACCTCCCCTCCAGCAACAGCCACAAGCAAATCATACCTGAAGGGATCGCAAATACAATGTGAATGCAGCTGAGGAAGCTTTGAAACAGACTTAATTATTTCCCTTTCAGAAATCACAATACCGTAACAAAACCAGTGTACAGCCCGAGGCTAGTAAAGAACAGTTAAGAATCCCAGTTTAAATGTACAAATTCTCAGGTTTCCCCACTCTAAGTCCACAGAATAGATGAACAATTGATGGTAGAGTTGTCCTTAAAAAAGCATAAATAAATACTGAAATAAAGACAAAAAATAATTTAAAAATCTACATCGAAATGAGAGTCAGTCCATGGATTAA